TTTTTTGTTTCTTGGACTACTTATAAATGATTAACAATCACGATCTAGTTAAGTCTGATCCTAAATTGTAATAGCATGACGAAATTTTATTTGTAGAGAACATTTCTGTTCTTTATTGTCTCAATAGTTACTCTGAACTGTTAGTGTTTGCTATGTCTCTATCGTGATTTGGACAACCTTCTCAAGCGATTTTGGACACCTGGGTATAACATTTGTCTTGCTGTGGGCAAAGCTTGTAGGATAAATGTTATACAATAATTATTTTCATTGTACAACATTTATTTGGTTCTATCTAGTCTAATTTTTTTGGTATGTATATCACCCTCTGTATTTCTGAGGCTGCATTTTTAGATTATTTTGAAGCTTGCGAAAGGAGAGCATATAAACTTCGATAACAGCTCTTTCCAGCCGTTAACTGAATTGAGAAACAGTTAAACAATAAATTCATGACCTTTTTTTGCATAAGAGTGACACTCATTTGTGGCAAGAAAGTAGGAAAAACCATTGAGGATAAAAATGGCGTCACTCCGTCCCAGTTAATAGTTCTTATTGGTTTGATTTCTTAGCCACGCACGAGATTATTAGTATATTTATTGGGTGACGTTTCGGCGGGATCGCCTTCTTCAGAGCCTGAAATGGGCGAAACGAAATGCAATTTACCCGACTAAGCGTTTTTTTCAACCTCACAAATATTTAAGACACTGTTGGATTACTAGCGATACTGCTAGAACAATACTCACCCTTTGATCACGTCGATTTTTCTCTGAACAGAAAAACGACCGCTCACTAAGTAGGCAGATGATGCCTTCGCTAGGTTAAAAGAGCTGACCCAGATAAGGAAAAAGTTCCCGCGTGATTGTGAAGCATTCTTCTTTGCGACTCATTTCGGGGACTTTTGCTGGATCCAAAATGAACACAAAGTCTTGCGAGCCGATGTTCTTGGTTCCTGTGCTAAGATTCTACGTTCACTTCATAGTTCTCTCCCGCATGTTTCTGCATTTTGAATGCCCAAGGGCGTGTAGAGGCGCGACTTATCTCTACTTTCCAGATGATACGGACGCATAGAGGGCGCGAAGTTTCGCCTATACACTGGTCGCCGCAGCTCGCGCATGAGATGAGGTAGATGACCCCGGGGTCATTCTTCCATACAAACGATGCATTGATATACGAACCAGCGGAAAATATTAGTGGTTAGGGGCCCTTCCTGTACGCGGCGAGCGCTATTGCCGTACCGGCGTACGCGTATTTCTCCCGTACGGTGATGGCGCGCCGCTCATACGCATCTATTGTCAGAGCCTGTACGCATGCAATCTCCGCTCCTACCTCCGGGACGAATAACGCAGTTTGGTGTGGTGCAAATGCGGTCATAGATGCTTCAGAACAAGCATGTGCCTAAGGTTGCTGTATCTTCAAAATCATAACTGAGTCTCAAGGCCACTTCTCCTCAGAGACCGGGACGCTTACTTCATCGGAGATAGAAGAGGGAAGATTTCATATTTTTCTTGCTGCGACCGAGGCTCCTTCTGTGCGAACATTCCTATTTCCTCTGTAATGTAGTGAGCATTCGTTGTCGCCATTGGAAGTTACTATCTCTCCTTTCCTCGGTCCCACTAACACTTTAGAAGCCGTTCGAAACATATTTTTAATAACAGCTTTTTTGGGTTTGACGCAAATGAGCAGACCGAAAGTGAACAAGGGTGTTCTTGTTGCTGGTTTTTTAATTCCAATTTGTTATGTGATTGCCGCTAGAGATTTTGATTTGGACGTTTAAGAATGGCAGTCAGACGTTATTCGGTTTTTCTCGTGTGAGCCTTATGTGTTTTGGCTGCGTGTTCATCAACTCGAAGCACTTATTGACCTCTGCCTGAATGGCACAGATGATGAAACAATCGTCTATGTAACGACAATCACTCTAAGATGGGCGCTTAACTTTGGTCATAAAGCGATCAAGCGTAGAAGACAACCTCTTACCTATAGTCAAACCTCTAACCTGCATATAAGTACCCGACCAACTAAATACGTTGCAGTTCAAACACGCTTTGAGAAGTACATTATTGAGTTATAAAGTCGTAGAGTTGATGCCATTTTCATTTTGTGAGAAGCTCAAGAACGGCCTGCATGACGGCATTGTTGGAGACATTTGTGTACGATGCGATAACATCGAATGATTCTATAATACAGTTCCCTTTGATGTGCGTTTAGCAGACGGTCTAAGAACATCTGCGTATTAGCCAAATGGGAAGGAATGAGTTAGCGCATCTGCCTATTAAGTTGTTTACAAACCATGCTACCCTGTCTGTGGGCCCTATCAAACTAATCATAGATCTAACCTTTAAAATGGTGGGAATAGATGCTAATTCGCTGCTAGATTGGATTCGGTGCGTTTTGATTAGTAGGTAGAGACGGGGCAGGCTAACAGGTCAGTGGAGGCGCCTCACAATATCAGTAGACAAGTTCGCTGCTTTCGCTGTCTTTTTCCATTCCTTGTTTGATTTACGGTATTGTTTTTGGAAATTATCGACGGAAGATATTCCGTGAAGGCTGCCATCCTGAGTTTAGTTGATGAGGAATGACCACGATTTCACCTCCATTATCGCTGTTCGATAGCCATTTCCATTGCATTTTCCTTTCGATTAAGTCCATCCTTACCGACGAAAAAAGAACTAGGTTCTTTAGGTTTTATCGTGCGCCCCACTCAATTTTCTCGCGCAGATGCAAATTTGCATCGGTCCATGAGGCGCGGGAGGCGGTCGAGTGGCATGGTTTTCACCGG